TGAGAATGATACGCATATGCGAGGGTAACCCTCACTAACACACTAATTCCAATATAATGGAATAAAGAGAAAAACTTTAATTGATATAAGTTTCAAGGTGTCTTACAAATGAAACCAAGTGCCTTATTTATAGGGGAGGCTAGCTTGGCAAAAGACTCTACAACCAATGTGGGACAAAAATATACATTATTTAAAGCCCACTAATTAAATAAATTAGAGAGGTTAGATTAATTAGATTAAAAGGACCCACCTTATTAAATAAAATAAAACCTCTTATCCCACATGGGATAATGATGTAAGTAGCAACTCCCATGGGAGTTATAAATTGTGGTCTTCAAGGGAATGAAGTGCATGGATCATTGATGCACTCCAATGTTGACAACGCTCTTCCTATTGGCCTCCATGCTTCCACTTTATGCATGTTCTCATCTTCCAAGTGTAGAAATAATGCCATAATATTAGTTTGAAACTTCTTGATACGGTTTTGAGTAATCAGACCTGGTGGTAGTGTAGGTTTATCATCGCTTTTGACGAGCTGGTCACTTTGTGGGTAAGAAAAATACATTGGTTATAATTATACACGGTCGGTTCGTGTCAATCACGGATGCACTCTCACGCAGTTATGCTTTAGTTTTATACGTGGCCACGCATTTATTAGGATTTACATGTTAAGGAATTATACCACACTGATGACGATTTCAAAGATGTGTATGCTTTGTGTAAATTGCATGAGCATGAGAAGTCTTTCAGACATGAGGGATTCTTCTATTACGATAATTGACTTTGTATCCCAAGATGCTCCATTTGGGAGTTACTAATATAAGAAGTTCACGGTGGTGACATGATGGGCCACTTTGGGAAGAATGCTACAATGGAAGCTCTTGGAGAGAATTTCTATTGGCCTGGAATGCGCAAGCAAATTGCAGATTATATTTCGCGATGAGTGACGTGCCTCAAGGCCAAGTCAACACTTAAGCCACATGTACTCTACATGCCTCTTCCACCTCTGAGGGACCTTAGATTGATATACGTATGGATTTTGTATTGTGTTTACCTAGAACTGAACGTGCTAAAGATTCTATTTTCATTGTGGTTAACACGATTTCCAAGATAGCGCATTTCATTCATTGTGCAAAGACAAATGATGCCCATCACATCGCCAAACTGTTTTTCAAAGAGATAGTACGCCTTCATGGGGTACCAAGGTCTATTGTCTCAGATCGTGATGCAAATTTTGTGAGTTACTTTTGGAAATCATTGTGGCACAAAATTGATACTAAGCTTCTTTTCCTCATAACCTATTACCCCCAAAATGAAGGACAAACGGAGGCGGAAACTGAGTGTTGGGTAATCTCCTTAGAGTTATTGTGAATTCACATAGTAAAATTTGGGATGAATATCTTCCTTATATTGAATTTTCATACGGAGTAGATCTTTTTGTTTTGTTGGGGTTTTCTAGAATTTGAAAGCGAGAACTCCTCCACACAACCACACACGTCACTATTTGAAGTAGTTTATGGAATGATCCCACTAACGCCTACTGCTGTTTTATCATTGCCTAGCAATGAGTTTTTAAATGTTAATGGTAGGGAACGAGCAAGACGCATAAAGGAAGTTCATAAGGATGTCAAAGAAAGTCTAGAAAAATCTGCGGAGATTTATCACTCTATGATCGAGCCGATGAGGAAACACCACGGTTGATGGTTCAACCTTCTGAAGTGGGAGACGATGACATGGATATGAAAAGATCAGGACTTTCAATTCTGCATATTCCAATCGGACCAGTCTCGAGAGCTCGAGTGAAAACGTGCATTAAAAAATTGGGCTTGATAAAGAAATTAGAGAATTGGAGCCCAACCGACGGACTCTGTTACAACATGCGAGGACTTGATAGAAATTCTAGGGCGAGTGTCGTGGTTCTTAAGGTTACATTGGAGCTTGCAACGCCTCAATCAAACAACTAATGGAAAAGTTGTACAAACCTAGGTTTGCACATGCTCAAGTGGGAGGGGACCATCAATTGGGACCACTTATACATGTATATAAGAAGCTCTCACATGCCTCTCACATGCATGGGGGGACCATTAGCTAGGTGTCACTCATTGGGAGATTACTTACACAAAACCCATCCCATATTGGAAAATAGAACACTTAAGGTGCTTTGTAAGACACACCAAAAAAATATATTTTTATGAATATTTTATCATTTATGATCATTTTCTTTTATGAAAATTTATGCTTAATAGCAATGCTCTCTCTTTTGGTCTAATATTTCATAGAATGCAATTCCATTGCATCCTCCATGGGGTTTAGTTTCAAATTTCGGGTTTGAGTATAAAGCATCAAGTTCGTGGCATTTGAGAAAGGTGGAAGAGCTCTCCAAAGTGTTGACCGAGGTGGTGCCTTTACGGAGAATTGTTCGATGCTAGAAGGGTATCGGGTCGTGCTTACGTTAGTACTTACTTAGGTTTGCTTCTCTTTTGATTATCCTTTTTCTCGCTTCATTCGTTCTGTTTAGTTAATTCGTTCCTTTTTGAACGAATGAATTAGTTCTGTTTAGCATAATTAGTTCCGTTTCATTCGTTCTGTTTAGCATAATTAGTTCTATTTAGTAGCTTGCTCTTTCTTTTTGTTTTATTAGTTAGCTTCGCTTAGTATTTTATTCTGTGACGAGAATGTCCAATCTTCAAGCATTCAAATGCCCGTGGGACCCATCACTCGAAGCCGAGCTCGTCAGTTTCAAGAATCCGTCACTGCGTTGACGGGACAATTTTTTATGGATAATCAATTTAAGGATGATGCTTGGAGACCACTTAGCCCTTACCTGACACTCCTTCAATGCGACCCGCAAGAATCTCAATTGAAAGATCAAGAGAATCGCTAATCCTGGAAGATTATCAAGGGAATCATCACTTATGGAGGCTTCTAGAAGTTACTTTAATATATATTTTCTTTTATTATAAGTTTTCATATAGTATACACTACAAGAAAATATCAAATTTGTAATGAGGTTTTTTCGTTCTTAAATCTATTTTTTCCGTTACTAATGATATTAGAGACAGAATTAGGGATGAAATTACGTTAGCTACGTGAACTTTAAGGACGGAATTCCGTTACAAATATACTATTTTTTTTTGTAGTGATAATTCCATATCTAAAACTTTCCTAATTATTTATTTCCTTATAGCTAGACTTACTTTTTAGTTTGTTTCCTTTATTATTTGTTGTGTTTTATTTTTCCTCAAGGACGTCTATATAAGGTCCTTGCTTATCATTGTAATAGGAAATTTTTTTACATCTTGAATCGAATTTCAGTTTTATAATTTTCTAGTGTTAGGGAGTGATTTCATCGCATTTAGTGTCTCAAATTGGGTCTTTGGAGTGATTCTATCGGTTCGTGGCTTCCAATACTTTGAAATGGGATTTAGCGTATTGTTTGTGTTTTAGCCTATGGATTGATTTCAGGTCCGAGACTTATTTTCGTGGTTGGTTATCATCCATACTAATTCGTATTCTCTGCATTATCTTTTCTTCTTCCTTCTCTTTTCTGTTATACGTATTCTTAATCTTTTCTTCCTGCATTAACTTTTTTCCAAAAAAAAAAGGCAAAAAAAAGAACGAAAAAAAAGGTTGTAATCAAATATCAAGATATTTGTTATTTACTTCTAGTTCTCAAATCATCTTATCTTTTATCAAAAAGAAAAACAAAAAAAAAATGTATTTAGATTATGTCTTCTACTTTCATTCTGAACTTATGTTTCTTTTGCTTTCACTACTATTTTGGACTTTTTGGCTATCGTCTTTGCGAGAATTCCATCGATTTGATTTGAGTCTTTTTTGCGAGATGGAGAAGTACATAAGAGATGGAGTGATACATGAGTGAGGTTATTTTCCTTTTTCCTTTCTTCTCTTTCTAATGGAAGGGGGTGAAGGATCCAATTCTTAACAAGTTGATGTACAAGGTCTTCTCAATACCATTCTACAAGAGTTTAAAACTCTTCACCATTCTGGATGGGAATTGATGAATAATAGGATGGATCAACTGGAAGAGAATCAACAAAAGTTACAAGAGAATATTCGACCATTACCTGAAGCTCAGAGGCGAAATGATGTTCAACTGCATTTGAGGCCAAGACGCAACATCCGGTCCCCACCCCCACACAACTTTGACGAACCTGATGATGAGGAGTTTGAAGGAAATTGGGAACAACGTAGGCATCATAATAACCATAACCGACGGGATGGAGATGAGACTATCAACTCGATCAAGTTTCAGGTGCCACCGTTCCAAGGAATATCTAACCCTGAAGCATATTTGCAATGGGAACGAAGGTTAGAACTAATATTTGGTGCTCAACAATTAACGGACAAACAAAAACTCTATGTGGTCGTAATGGATTTTTCAGATTATGCCCTTGCATGGTGGGACCAATTAAGCACCAACTGCATCAGAACACTACAAAAAAATTACTAATTAGCGAATGATTTTTGCAAGGGGTTTTATTTCCCTTGAAAATAATTTGAAAATTTCTTGTTATTAACAAATGAGTTTGCGAAGGATTTATATTTCTCGCAAAATTACAAATTATTTTTTATTTTTATTAGATAATTTATTTATTAAAACAAACATATAAAATTATTTTTATTTTAAACAAAAAACTAAATTTCATAATCCTAGATACCTAATAGCATCCCGCACCGAACCGTCGAATCTTTGAACCAAACTTAACCAAATTGAAATTTTGATTAATCAAATAAATTTGATTTGAATACAAAATACCATATATTTGATATTTATTCAATTTTAATTTTTAATATTTTTTTCAATTTAATTAACTGAACCAAATATATTTTTATATATTTTTAATTTATATTACTAATTATATATATTATAATTATTTATACCTGAGCTTTTGGGCTGAATTGTTCAATATAAATACAAAATGGCCCACTATCCAATACCCATTAATTTATTACCTAATTTTAAAATTCAACTCAAACCCTTAACCCTATAGACACCCACACGGCCACACCATACGCAGTCACTGGCAAACACATCTATTGTTTCGGCGTCGATAATATTCACTTCCCGCTGGCCGCTGCACGCACACACAAACACACCAACGCCTACGATGCAACCATGGGGTTAACTTCTAATCAATGGTTCTCTGCACGCTGGGTCATAAGGTTTTTAATTTGACGGATTGAATTCATAATTTTGTTAGATAAGTTGGATGATATATATGATTTTATTTTATTTATTTATTTTTTTGTGTGTATGATCTTTGTGCGATTGTTAGATTGTTAGTGAAATTTGGTTTTTGTGGAGCAGTGCTCTTTGGAAGTTGTCGTGTCATTTGGTTTATGATTAGAATACTAATTATGGACAAATTTTAATGTTATGTATTCATTAATGTCAAGAAGAATTGAAATGATAGTATGATACCATCGAGATTTCTTCCTCTCTTCTTTGGACTGGCAAAATATTAAATAGAGACTGCAGAATGTCACACCTACAACATATGGACTTTTACACAACTAAGGCAAAACTTGTTGAAGCTTATGTGTGAGCGTGTATCAAATTGTGCGCTCAATGATACTTTTCCGAAATAACATGAACTTTGACTGTGTTTGTATTGTTGAACCAATTCTAGCTCGAGTGATTCTGTATTTTTGTGTGTGTGTGTGTGCGTGTGTGAATTTGCAATTGAGTTGATCTTGCTGGAGTGACTGGATGTATATTGATAGAGAAAGTAAAGAGTGTGTCCAATTAGGCCAAATATTACTTAAGTTATTGAGTTTTTGTGTTGTTTAATTTTTATTAGTAATGTGATGCCGGGTAGAGTTACACTAAATCTACATCTAAAGTTACACTAATGGCTGGATGTGTATACTGAAGCTTTATTCTTTCTACGGAGGTTTGAATCTGCCTAGGTTATACAACCATTTGCTCCTCCTGCAAGATGGATTTTTAAGATTGTCTGACAACTTCAGAAATAAAATCCAAATATTTTCTTTTGCCTATATTATTGAATGAGCTTTTTCATATCTTCCTATTTCAATTACAGGAAGACCTTCTCGAGCTACAGGATGAGGAGCTGGCTTCCACCATGAGAGAACAAATATAGCGAGCACTGTAATTTTGGGAAAGAAATTGGGTATTTTGTTGCTTTTGCACCCTGTTTCCTTTAAGTTATTATTATTAGCCACGTCTACCTAATTTTTAGTGGTATGTTTATCTAGCATTCTGTTGTACCCCTTAAAATAAAATGCCTCGCTCAGGAACCGGAGAGATTTATGTGGGCGTTAAGTATGGCACAATCTCGATGTATCAGCAAGCAAATAAGAATTGGCGCCTTAATTCAGGATAAAAATATGTTAGTTCCTTATGCTGGTCAGTACCTCATGATATATTTATATATATGTATGTATTTCACACTGATCAATACTCCCTCCGTCGCCTTACAATGTGCTCATTTTTCATTTTGGATTTTCATAAAAAAAAATATTCTTGTTTCTCTTTTTAATAAAAAAATTATATTACTTTTTGTATTTTCTTGCTATAAAAAGAAAAAAGTAACCAAAAGTACACACCTCATATTGAAACCCATGTCTGAAAGTTTGAGCACATTTTTTGGGGATGGAGGAAGTATTTGATTTTCTATTCATGTTGGCTTGTTTAGGTGTTGTTCAGCCTTGGGGTGTGTTTGGTTCAACAAAGGGAAGGAAGGGGGAGGGAAATGAAAATTGTAGTAGTGTATTGGTTCATATGGAATGAAGAAAAGGGGAGGGGTGGGGGAGATAAGTTGCAATTTTGCATTTGATTAGGGGATGGAGGTGAAGGAAAATAAATTATTTTCCAATTGTGCTACACTATATTACTTGGATAAACAAAAAGCTACAATTTAGGTGAGTTTATTTTACTATATTGCTAGGGAGATCTTTATTGATAGTAAATGGTTGATTTTATGGTTCTGATTATGTCGTAGTGCTGGGATAATTGAGGTTATTTTGGTCAACCAATGGGAATATATGTAGTTATTTTTGATTAAAAGTTATTGTGTTATGTCTTTTTCTATAAGAGCTTTTGGCTATTCTGTTATGTTGTTGGGTTCAATAGAATGATGTGTGTCAAATGACGACATGCGACTTCGAAAAAGTATACAATCTTCCTGGGACTTTTCTAGTGTTAAGCAACTCTGTATTTTAAAGTGACTCTAGTGTGAGCTCAAAGCTGGTTTCCCAAAATGTATTTTGTTATTATTATTTTTCCTTATTCTTCTTTACATGATTTAATCCGCATTGGTGTCCCCAAAATGTACTTTAGCCTCTTTTAAATAATATGATGTGGGTTGATTCTTTGGGTGCACTATTTCGGAATTTGATTATATGTTCTTTTACTATGCAACTATCATGATTCTTATCAAAAGACAATCAAACTCTAAATGAACACACTCTATTTCTTGGTTTTATATATATAAATATGTGCACATTCTGATATGTCTTGTATATAGTAATGGGCATAGTAGTTTTGAAAATGAGATTCACCATCCTGCTCCGGTTCTGAAAAAAACTGACTCTATGTTAAATCTAATGTTACGAGAAGTAACTTGAGAATTAAATGTGTTGCTCGTAAAACAGACTATTTAGATGCTTTGATGGATATTGCAGAAGACATATTGTAATATGCCGGCCGGCTCAAACCGGAGCGTCACTGCCACGCCACACCGAAAGGCTCGTTCATCAACCAACAAGTCCTACGTTGTGGCGCTAAGGCTTAAATAATAAATACCAACAACTAATAGGGACTTAGAGTTAAAGCGCACCAGTTTATCATTTAAATAAATAAAGTTTGAATCAAAAACATAAATTGGGAATAGTTCAAAAGGCATTAGTCTTTAAACACAATCAATGAATTTCAAAACATTTTAGAAGGTAAGGTAGTTCTAATTTTCCCCGATGGATCATATGACGTGAATGCATCACTTAGGCATAACAGAAGCATGATTACCTACAAAAAGATCGTAAGAAGAGGGTCAACACAACGGTTGAGTAACCGCAATTAATCGAAGATAAGTTAATATGATATAATGGCACAAAATCATTTGAAGAAGATAGTCGAATAAAATGACACGTATCACATAAGGGGAACTCACACACACGAGTCTTTTAGCGCCTCCCTTATACCTCATTTTCATTCTCAAATACTAGCGATGAGCACATCACGAAGAAAATTCCGCTGGGCCTTAATCAACGCCGCTCGACCCGGTTTTCCAACCTTATTACTTCGTATGACACGTCACATAATTTCACATAACAAACATAGGGTCATAACCCTCAAAGGAAACTCCACAATGTGTACATAAGGGTTCGGAATCCAAAGTACACGTAAATCAATTTATTATTAGTTTGCGAGGGGCGTCATACAGCCCACAACCCTCTAGTCTCCAATATAACATACCAAGAGGGGATTGTACGGAATCCATCCCTCCATCACGGATGACGGTCTAAAGACCTTTCCATCGTGAATGACGGGCACCTCGGAATCACCCTAAAAGGGAACCCGCCATCTCGATCCCTCGACCTAGCCGATTCGGGATCTAGTTCAAGGTTAGCTAGTTATCCTAAAATACCGGTATACCTTCACGTGTTTGCAAGGCACAGAGGTGGAAGACTATGCCTTATCATCCAAACAATCGACGAGTTGATCGGACTCGACGGGTAGTTTCAATTACCAATTTGACCAAATAGTCAACATGCTCTTAGGAAAATTTCAAAAAGAGTGTTTTAAACTCAAAATATTCCAATTGTCAACATTTAACCATGCAAAAGTAGGATATTAGACCCAACAAGTTCGCTATAATCACACTTTATTTCGCCAAATAAACATTCGAAAAACATGCCAACCACAATAGACATTGTCTAATTCGAAAAATCATAATATTTAAATATAATCGTAAATCTTTTTCCGAAAAATATAACTAGGTTAGGGCAAAACTAGGGTTTCAAACTCATCCCAAAAATTCTACGATTTTCAATTTAAAATTCAATAATAATCTTCACATAAGCCTTAATGACATTATAATCAACTTTCTAAAAGAAATTGGCAAAACCTACTACTTTTAGGGCAAACCCATTTAACAATAATTTTGAAAAATATCAATAGAAGGGGTCTAGGGATTAAAACATATCAATCTATCTAAGATTAATCCCACTTACCTAAAGAGAAGAGACCAAAAGGAAGAATTTTGGAGAAGAAGAATCCCCAAGGAAGAAGAAGGGCTGGCGGCGGCGGCGTGATGGCTGCTGCTGCTGTTCCTTTTTTTATTTTATTTTATTCTTTTATTTAACATAACATACTTAATCCTTTATTAATTATTTTATTATATTTTGGCCCAAACTCAGTTTTTACTTCTAATTTAAACCCAACTCTTTAATTTATTACAGTAAAAGACCAAAATAAATTATGTCCAAAATGAAATTTGTCCGACTCTGGCAAACTTTCGGCGATTATATTACGGGGTATTACATCCTTCCCCCCTTAGGACATTTCGTCCTCGAAATCGATCTGCTCGCCCGTAGCTACCTCAAACAAATCTGGATACTTTCATCGCATTTCTTGCTTGGTTTCCCATGCCGCGACCACACTACCTTCACCATCCTTATCTCACGGTTCCGCGTCGATCTAACTTTGAAAGCCACAATCTGAATAGGTTGCTCTGAGTACACCAAATCCTACTGAAGATTCAAGACTTCCGGCTGAAGTATATGAGATGGGTCAGCCAGGTATCTCCTCAATTGAGAGACATGAAAAACATCGTGAACCCTTTTCAATGTCTTCGGCAAGGCCAACTTGTACGCCACCTCTTCAATCCTTTCGATGATCTCATACGGCCCTACATACCTCGGGCTCAAATTTCCCTTAATACCAAATCTCCTCACACCCTTTGTTGGTGAGACCTTAAGTAATACATGATCACCCACCTTAAAATGCCCATCCCTCCGAGCAAGGTCGGCATAACTCTTCTGGCGATCTTGGGCGGCTTTCATCTTAGCCTTGATGTTACGAATCTGATTCATCATCTCCTCAATAATTTCGGGCCCCGATACAACCCTTTCGCTTGGGTCACTCCAACACAACGGCATTCTACACTTCCTCCCATACAAAGCCTCAAAGGGTGCCATCCAAATGGTCGCTTGATGACTATTATTGTAGGAGAACTCCACTAGAGCCAACTGATCCTCCCATCGTCCTTGAGAATGCAATGCACAAGCTCGCAACACATCTTCCAAAATCTGATGAAAGGCCATACTCATCCTTAACCGAGTACCGAACTCTTTCTGAAGCTTTTGCCGAAAATGCGACTGAAAACGGGGGTCGTGGTCCGTGACAATCACCTCCGGAACTCCATACCTCTTCACCACGTGCTGGATATACAACCTTGCCAACTTCTGCATGCTCTAAGTCATGTTTATCGGGATAAAAACTGCTACCTTAATCAATCGATGAACAACTACCCAAATGGCATCTGCGCTCGATCTCGACTTTGGTAATCCGATCACAAAATCCATAGCAATCGAGTCCCACTTCCATTCCGGAACTTCCAACGGTCTCAACAAACCCATAGGTCTCTTATGCTCCGCCTTGACCTTTTGGCAATTCAAACACTTGGCGACATACGCATGTCTCTTTTCATACCGCGCCACCAAAAATGTCCTTTCAAATCTTTATACATCTTATCGCAACCGGGATGCACTGAATATGGAGAACTATGAGCTTCTTAAAGTATCATTTCTTTAATATCCAACCGATCCTTGGGTACACCATCTGTCTCGAAATCTTAGGCTTCCATCCCGACCAACATGGAATTCGCTTATTTCACCTTGTTGCACCTTTATCGCTAAGTTGAGTAAGTCATTGTCATCAACCTGAGCCTCCCAAATCTCCCTAAAAATCTCGGGCTGAATTGACAAGGCACCCATATATCCTTCAATCATCTTAGGACCCACTACCTCAATTTGTAGATTCTTGAACTCATGACACAACTCTACGGGTAATGTCATCGAACATACGTCATGACTTGACTTCAAACTCAAAGCATCAGCAACCACATTCGCGTTGCCTTCCTGATATAAAATATCCAAGTCATAGTCCTTTACTAATTCCAACCACCTCCGTTGTCTCAGATTCAACTCTCTTTGAGTGAATATGTATTTCAATCTCTTATGATCGGTGTAAATCTTGCAGTGAACTCCGTAAAGGTAATGTCGCCATATCTTGAGAGCAAACACGACAACCGCCATTTCCAAGTCGTGAGTTGGATAGTTCTCTTCATGCGATTTAAGCTGCCTCGAAACATATGCTATCACCCTTCCATCTTGCATCAACATGCACCCCAATCCTCGTCTTGACGCATCACAATACACATCGAACTCTCGGCCATCTATCGGCAATGCCAATACCAATGCAACTGTCAACCTCCGTTTCAACTCTTGAAAAGCTTGTTCACATGATTCGCTCCATACTACTTTGACATTTTCTTCAACAACGATGTCAATGGACTTGCCAATCGTGCAAAGTCTTGCACAAACCTCCGACAATACCGGTCAACCCCAAAAAGCTCCTAATCTATGTCTGCGTCTTTGGTCGGGGCCAATTTTCAATAGCGCTCACTTTTGATGGGTCGACCGAAACACCATCCCTCAAAATAACATGCCCCAAAAATGCTACTTCGTTCAACCAAAATTCACACTTAGATAGTTTAGCATACAAGTGATGCTCCCTCAATACTTGTAGCACTAACCTGAGGTGATTCGCCTGATCCTCCTCGCTCGAAGAATACACTAATATATCATCAATGAAGACCACAACAAACTTATCCAAATATGGTCTGAAGACTCTATTCATCAAGTCCATGAAGGCAGCTGTAGCATTCGTCAACGCAAATGACATCACCGTAAACTCATAGTGCCCATAACGAGTTCGAAATGCTGTCTTCGAAATATCGCCGTCTGAAATCCAAAGCTGATGATATCCCGACCTCAAATCTATCTTCGAGAATATGCTTGCTCCCTTCAGTTGATCAAAGAGATTGTCAATCCTTGGAAGAGGATACTTATTCTTAACAGTAACTTGATTTAATCCTCGATAATCAATGCACAACCGAAGACTACCATCCTTCTTCTTAACAAATAGAACGGGCCCTCCCCAAGGAGAATTACTCGGCCGGATATACCCTTTATCCAACAACTCTTGAAGCTACTCATTCAATTCGGCTAACTCCTTAGGTGCCATACGGTAGGGAGCCTTAGACACCGGTTCTGTTCCTGGAATTATATCAATCGTGAAATTTATCTCACGGTAAGGCGGCATACCCGGTATCTCATTAGGAAATACATCCGCAAACTCTTTTACCACCGGGATGTTCAAAAGCTGACTCCCATCTCCCAAGACATCATGCACTTCACATAGGAACAACGGGTGACCTTTACGAGTTAACTCATGCAGAGAGACAACAGATACTATCTTAATCGATGGGCGATTAAGGAATCTCCTCATACACAACTTCTCCACCACAAGGGCTCGAAGAAAGATCTTCCTCCCATCACAATCTATTCCGGCCTGATAGGTAGCCAACCAATCCATACCCAAAATGATATCGAACTCCGCCAATTTAAACTTTAAAAGATTAGTAGGGAATTCTATGCCTCCGATCATTACAGACACTCCTACGAAAAGACAATTGCAAGGCACTAGCTCTCCTGAAGGTAACCTAATCTCCACCGAAACCTCTACTCGAGAATCTAATTCTAACCTCTTAGCACATCTACTCGATATGAAAGAAAGGGATACACCAGAATCAAAGAGAATAACCACAGGTAAATAATTCACCAAGAACGTACCGGTCATGACATCTCCCTGGTTCTCCATAACTTGCCCTCTCGTCATGACATTAATGTGACCTTTCTGGCCACTCCTTCCCCCTCCTCTTGCACGCTGAGGTGCCAATGGCAGTGTACGACCTTGTTGCTGTGGAACCGGGGTCCTCTCAAATGCATTCGGAGCTCCAACTAACTTGGGGCAAAACCTCTTAACATGTTCCGGCTCATGGCAGTAATAGCAAGTTATGGGCTGGCCGTCACAACGAACTCCAGGATGAGATTTTCCACATCTGCTACAAATAGTCGGACCTCCACGATCGTCACTCGAATTCCCCTGAGTGAATTTAGGGCGAGATGCATAGGGTGTACCCGAAAACCTCTCCGATTGATTCTTTCGCTTATAGTTCTTCAAACCCTTGCTCACCTTCCCTTTTCCTTTATCTGCCATGCGGGCCCCATCCCTCCACTCATCATACGCTATTCGATTTGTCCGACAGATGTTAGTTGCTTTCTCGTACGCCTCTTAAAGGGTCGACACACTGAAGCCGGCTAAGAACCGCTGAAGGTCTCTATTCAGTCCCCCAAAAAATCTTGTCAATTTGCACCGATCATTCGCTGCCAAATCCGGAGCGTAGGCAGCTAATTCATTAAAATACGTGAAGTATTCTTCCACCGTCATATTGCCCTGCACCAAGACACTAAACTCATCCTCTTTTGCTCTCTGAATGTGCAGAGGATAAAAGCGCGCCCTTATCATCGTCTTGAATGCCTCCCACGGTAATCCAACCAAATTGCTCCCGGAAGCCATCTCATTATTCCACCACTTCTTGGCTAGTCCTTCTAAATAATATGCAGCTATCATCGTCTTCTCTCCTTCCGAGCATCTCACCACCTCAAATATAGTCTCCAAACGATCCAACCATTCTCCCAAAATAGTCGGGTCCGATTGACCCGTGAAAGTCGGAGGACTATGACGTAACACCGCATCCATAGCACTCCGGGGCTGCTGAGTGAACTGTCCCGTAAACTAAGAAAGATCTTTAATGTCGGGTCTGACGGTCGAACGGGATCCTGAATTGGACGCTCGGGGTTTTGGGATTGCCTACTCTCAACCTCTTCATCGGAATCAAGTGCCACTGGTGGCTGACGAGCACGCCTAGGGGGCATCTTGCTAATTGAGACTAGACCTAATAAGCTCCAATTAGTTTGATAGCATGAACAATACACATAAACACATGGAATAAACATAAAACGCAATGCATGCCATGAATGCACCCAAACCCGACTAAGCCCATGATCTAATTGCTTTTAGAAATTTTGAAATCTTCAAGTTTTATTAACTAAGAAGCATGAGCCTTTAACTTGGCTCTGGTACCAACTGTAATACCCCGGCCGGCTCAAACCAAAGCGTCACCGCCACGCCACACCGGAAGGCTCGTTCATCAACCAACGAGTCCTACGTTGTGGCGCTAAGGCTTAAATAATAAATACCATCAACTAATAGGGACTTAGAATTAATGCGCACCGGTTTATCATTTAAATAAATAAAGTTTGAATCAAAAACATAAATTGAGAATAGTTCAAAAGGCATTAGTCTTTTACACACAATCAATGAATTTTAAAACATTTTAAAAGGTAACGTAGTTCTAATTCCCCCCAATGGATCATATGACGTGAATGCATCACTTAGGCATAACGGAAGCATGATCACCTACAAAAAGATCGTAAGAAGAGGGTCAACACAACGGTTGAGTAACCGTAATTAATCAAAGATAAATTAATACGATATAATGGCACAAAATCATTTGAAGAAGATAGTCGAATAAAATGACACGTATCACATAAGGGGAACTCACACACACGAGTCTTTTAGCGCCTCCCTTATACCTCCTTTTCATTCTCAAATAATAGCGATGAGCACATCACGAAGAAAACTCCACTAGGCCTTAATCAAGGCCGCCTCGACCCGGTTTTCCAACCTTATTACTTCGTATGACACATCACATAATTTCACATAACAAACATACGGTCATAACCCTCAAAGGAAACTCCGCAATGTGTACATAAGGGTTCGGAATCCAAAGTACACGTAAATCAATTTATTATTAGTTTGCGAGGGGCGTCATACAACCCACAACCCTCTAGTCTCCAATATAACATACCAAGAGGGGATTGTACGGAATCCATCCCTCCATCACGGATGACGGTCTAAAGACCTTTCCATCTTGAATGACGGGCACCTCGAAATTACCCTAAAAGGGAACCCGCCATCTCGATCCCTCGACCTAGCCCATTCGGGAACTAGTTCAAGGTTAGTTAGTTATCCTAAAATATTGGTATACCCTCACGTGTTTGCAAGGCACAGAGGTGGAAGGGTATGCCTTATCATCCAAACAATCGACGAGTTGATCGGACTCGACGGGTAGTTTCAATTACCAATTTGACCAAATACTCAACATGCTCTTAGGCAAATTTCAAAAAGAGTGTTTTAAACTCAAAATATTCCAATTGTCAACATTTAACCATGCAAAAGTAGGATATTAGACCCAACAAGTTCGCTATAATCACACTTTATTTCGCCAAATAAACATTCGAAAAACATGCCAACCACAATAGACATTGTCTAATTCGAAAAATCATAATATCTAAATATAATCATAAATCTTTTTCCGAAAAACATAACTAGGTTAGGGCAAAACTAGGGTTTCAAACTCATCCCAAAAATTCTACGATTTTCAATTTAAAATTCAATAATAATCTTCACATAAGCCTTAATGACATTATAATCAACTTCCTAGAAGAAATTGGTAAAACCTAATACTTTTAGGGCAAACCCATTTGAAAATAATTTTGAAAAATATCAATAGAAGGAGTTTAGGGATTAGAACATATCAATCTATCTAAGATTAATCCCACTTACCTCAAGAGAAGAGACCAAAAGGAAGAATTTTGGAGAAGAAGAATCCCCAAGGAAGAAGAAGGGCTGGCGGCGGCGGCGTGATGGCTGCTGCTGCTGTTCCTTTTTATTTTATTTTATTTTATTCATTTATTTAACATAACATAATTAGTCCTTTATTAATTATTTTATTCTACTTTGGCCCAAACTCAATTTTTACTTCTAATTTAAATCCAACTCTTTAATTTATTACACTAAAAGACCAAAATAAATTATGCCCGAAATGAAATTTGTCTGACTCCGGCAATTTTCCGGCGATTATTTTACGGGGTATTACACTTATTGCATGCAGTAAGTATTACGGATGACTCTTGTTAAACATTAACTTTTGTTTTTTTTAAGTGGTAAGACACATTTTTACAATGCGACTTGTTGCAGGTTCTCTTTCTTAGACCTCATTAATATCTGTCAAGCAGTAGAGGTTTGCAGGCAATGGAGACACAAGTTGTTTTGAAGACTTCTTATGGTTTTTAAATTTTGAGACTAAAGCGATGTCTATCAAACGATGTAAGTGTAGTTCAATTGTGATATGCTATTTGTTCAACGATTTTTTTATCCATTATATGACATTTTGATATAAATATGGATTCAAAGTTCTTTCTGCCTACATTTTAGATATTTGTTTGGCTTAAAGAATGCTCAGTGAACACTTGAGCATATGTGAAATATCATCAAGTATAATCCAACTATTATTCGGCTTAAAGCCTTTTCATTCTTACATGCATGTGTTGATTCTCTTGTCCCAGAGAGTTAAGAACTTACTTTTAACTTTGTTCTTTCATTTAGTTGAAACCATGTGTGATCGATATCCAAACACTACAAGTGTGAATGTCTATGGTGCTCCAGAATTGACCTTCTTAGAATAAAAACAGTAGCCTTATTGAGGTATATACAATATGCATTTTTAAAGGTGGCTTAACTGTGGTAGTTTTATATTATATTTATGAACCTTTCATTTATCCTAGAAAATCTTGAGAGTTTAACTCTGGGCAAAAGCCAGTTGCCAGAGGCATTTTTCCAAGTCTTAATTGATTGCCGTATGTTGAATAAATTAGTTACATTTCACATGATAGATTAGTTGAGCTTCACATACAGAGATGTCCGCTCTACATATCTGTCAGGTATAAAGCTTACCATTTTTGTCTCATTTTGTTCTATTGTATTGTTTTTCAACTGCATTAATTATATTTATGGTCTTCTTCAAATATTCACACCTTGAAATTATCTCTCAGACGTAGTAGCATGTCTCATGTAATACTCAATTGTCGTATTTTGCAAGAACTTGATATCGCTTCCTGTCAAAAGCTTTTTGATGGTGCAATTTGTTCATTAGCAAAATCCTCCCCACGATTGGAATCCTTGGATATGTCGAATTGTTTTCAAACTGAACCTAATGGAGCAAGGAAGAAAGTGGCTCTTCATACCAAAAGATACACACTGGTGGTATGCGACTAAGATGAAAGTACGCCAATTAATTATGTGAATTTTTAACATACTAATTTAGATTCAGTTCCCTTTTTCTAATATTTTTGTATTGTGTTTTCTAATTAGGTGAGATATAGCTTATGAGGAAAAGGTCCTAAAGCAGCTTAATAATAGCGTACGAGAGGCTTATAACAAGTGGATGAGCAATCCAATAAATGCGCGGGATAGAACCTTGCACTTGGTTTATTTTATATTATCGTATGATATTGGGAACAAAGTTTATTTTGTATTCTATTGTGTTTAGTATTTGGATTGTTGTTGGAATGACTTTAAATTATTACTTTGTTATTTTTTGAGACAAGTGTATGAACGTAAAATGAATCTATATTGTTAGTTTGTAATTGTTTGGAACAAACATTGGAATTCGAAATGAATTTATATTATTAGCTTGTGACTATTTGGGACAGGGGTAAGAATTTGAAATAAATTGGGAAATTTGTAAAACAGTTTACAATGGATTTTTTTTGAATGAATGAATTTCTTGTAAATTTGGAATCATGGAAAACAAATTTTTTAAAGGAATTTATACCATTGCAAAAGTGAAGTTTGCGAGGTAATAAATTCCCTCGAAAAAGTAAAGTTATATTTGCGAAGGAATTGTTCCCTCGGAAAAATGAAGTTCTATTTGCCAAGGAATTGTTCCATCGTCAAAATTTCTTCACAACTTTTTGCGAAGGAATTTTTCCTCAGATCCAAATTAGTGAGCAAGTGAATAGCGATGGTGTTTATTCCTTCACAACTTCCTTTGCTAGCGGATTTTGTGAGGGAAATAATTTGATTTGCGAAGGAATTTTTCCCTCGCAAATCAACATTTTTTTTGTAGTGGAAATAGGGAGGCTCCAGTGCGTACTTGGACAAAACTTCGTAGACTCATGCGAAAAAGGTTTGTTCCCCCTCATTACCACTGTGAAGTATTGTGGAGATTGCAGAGTATACAACAAGGATCCCGGTCAGTGGAGGAGTACTATTAAGAGATTAAAACACTTCTGTTACAAGCCGATATCCGTGAAGATCAGGAGCAAACGATGTCTAGATTTTCGAATGGGCTTCAAAGGGATATTGTTGATGCAGTGTACTAATACATGGATCTCGAGGAGATGGTACACGTGGCCATAAAGGTGGAAAATCAACTAAAATCAAATCAAATGCAAGGTTAAACTTTCTCGAATTCTAGGGTTGCCTAAAGCACCACTTCCACAACATATGAACAAAGGAAAAGAGGTAGCGGGAGTTGATTCAACACGCCCTAAGCTGCCAACAAATGCCCAAAAGAACACCACCCATAGCCGAGATATGTTATGTTTCAAATGCCAAGGCCGATGATATTTTGCAAATCAATGTCCAAACAAGCGTACTATGATTCTTATGACCTCCGGTGAGTACGAGTCCAAATAAAAAACTGAAGAGTCCTACAACCAAGAAGCTGTAGAATCCATACAAGAGTCCAATTTGACGTTAGTCACTCTCCGAGCTCTTAGCACCCTTCCAAAGGAGGTTGAAGATACCGAACAATGCAAAAATTTATTCCATGGAAGGTGTAAGATTGTGACTAAGGTATGTAGTCTTATCATTGACGATGGTAGTTGTAATAATGTCATTAGTGACCTCGCAGTGAAAAGTCTTAACTTGAGGATGAATTTGTATATGAGGCCTTACAAATTACAGTGGCTCAATAATTGTGGGAAAATCAACGTCACCAAACAAGTGTTGGTGGGAATTGAGCTACAAGGTTATAAGGATAATGTATAATTTGATGTAGTTCCAATGCAAGCATGTCATATTTTGCTTGGAAGACCATGGCAATTTGACAAAGAAGTTGTACATGATGGCCGCCGTAATCGATAAACTTTCACACTTGCCGGACGGACCATAGTTCTAAAGCCGTTGAGTCCTCGAGAAGTAAATGAAGATAAAAAATACTTGTACAAGATGTTTGCGCTGAAACAAGAGAGAAAAGGAACCAAAAGAATGACAACAAGATGGTGAGCTATGTCGCTGAATCAACTTAATGTGAGGAGTCCAATTTGAAGTCCTCCTTAGAATCACTTGCAACAAAAGGTACTCCACATACAAGTGCATTTACTCTTTCATATAGCCTAACTACCCCACAACCTCTCAAATCTTTATCCTCACCAATAAATACATCTACCCCTAGCCACTCTCAAATACTCTACCTTTCTACTCAAAAATCAAACACGATTGTAGTGATTTAAGGTGAAACCAACTGGAATCTTAAACACGAGAGTGGAAGGTCTAATCTTTTTATGTATAGGAAGGAAACTTTACGCTTAGAACATGGAGTTCATTGTTTGATATTACTTTCTAAACCTACTTATTTTTCCATGAATGACTAACAAACTTCCACCTAGTTTTGCTAACTTATTGCAGACGTATGATGGTGCTTTTCCTGATGAAGTACCCCATGGTGTACCACCCACTCGTGGAATTGAACACGAAATTAATTTTGTCCCAGGAGCATACATTCCTAATCGGCCAGCCCATCAATCCAACCCGGATGAGGTAAAAGAAATACGAAGACAAGTGGAGGATCTACTGAGCAAAGGTTAGTTTCGTGAAAGCATAAGTCCTTGTATTGTAGTTGTCCTATTGGTGCCAAAAAAGATGGAGGTTGGTGCATGTGTGTTGATTTCCGAGCCGTCAACGCTATAAGAGTTAAGTATCGTCATCCCATTCATAGATTAAATTACATGCTTCATAATTTGTGTGGTTCTATAATTTTTTCAAAAATTGATTTAAAAAGTGGCTTTCGCCAAATTTGGATGAATCAAGTTGATGAATGGAAAAATGCCTTCAAGACTTATTTTGGTCTATATAAGTGGTTAGTTATGCCATTTGGACTTACTAATGCCCCAAGCACATTCATGCGATGGATGAATCACGTTTTAAGGAATTTTATAAATAAGTTTGTGGTAGTATTCTTTGATGACATAACTGTTTATAGTACTTCTATTGAAACACATGTTGAACATTTACAAGCAGTTTTAGATATTTTACGGGCTGAGAAGTTATATGCTAACTTAAAGAAATGCGACTTTTGTGTCGACAAGTGCAACTTTTTGGGTTCTATTGTAGGAAAAATGGAGTATGTGTAGATCCTGTGAAGGTTCCAGCTATCTAAGAGTGGCCTACACCTGCTAACGTACATGATGTTCGCAGTTTCCATGGCCTTGCAAGTTTCTACCGTCTATTTGTGCGGAACATCAACACTACTGCAACACCCTTGACTGCAATTACCAAAACAGATGATAAGTTTGAGTGGGGAAGTGAACAACAAAATGCTTTTGATACTTTGAAATTGAAACTTACATGTGCACCCGTACTTTCTTTACCTGATTTCTCTAAATCGTTTGAACTTGATTGTGATGCCTTTGGTGTAGGTATTGGCACTATCCTCTCGCAAGAAAAGAGACACGTTGCATTTTTCAGTGAAAAGCTTCATGGCGCTGCGTTGAATTACTCAACTTACGATAAGGAATTGTAATCCTTAGTGCGGGCCTTGCAAACATGGCAACATTACTTACGTCCTCGTGAGTACGTTGTGTACACTGATCATGAATCCTTCAAGCTTTTCAAATCCCAAAGTAAGTTGAGTAGGAGACACATCCGATGGATCTCCTCCATTGACACATTCCCCTATGTTATTAAATACAAAAATGGTAAGGAAAATATCATTGCGGATGCATTGTCACGCAGGTATGCACTTGCTACCACACTTGAATCTAAGCTATTAGGTTTTTCGTATTTGAAAGAATTATATGCAATTGACTCTGATTTCTTCGATATATTTTTTAAATGTATTTCACATGCATTTGAAAGGTATCATGTACATGAGGGGTATTTGTTGCGAGAAAATAATTGTGCGTGATTAAACGCTATTTGAGAGAATTATTGATTTGGGAAAGTCATTCAGGGGGTTTGATGGGACACTTTGGTAAGAACAAGACGCTTAAGTTGCTGCTTGAACATTTCTTTTTTGGCCATGAATGAAAGCCAAAGTTGAAGCCACAATTCGTCGGTGTACAACGTGCCTCTCTTCGACTTGTATTGTTCATCCACACGGTTTGTATACTCCGCTACCGATTCCTGAATCCCCTTGGGTTGATATTTCTATGAATTTGCCTAGGAGTAGGTCTGGTAAAGATTCGATATTTGTTGTGGTTGATTGATATTTGTTATATAGTATTTTAAGGGAATATAGTTAGCGCTTTTGTTTCTTCACTGTTTTTCCTTTTTATTATATAGCACTTTATAAGATTATACTTTGTGCTCAATAGTTCTAATTACAGTGTTTTTCGTATATTTTACATAGTGTTTTAAGGAAATATATTTAGCGCTTTTGTTTCTTCACTGTATTTTCTTTGTATTATATACCACTTTATGAGATTATATTTTGTGCTCTAGAGTTATAGTTACAGTGCTTTAAGGTAATCTAGTTAGCACTTTTGTTTCTACACTTCATTTTCTTTTTATTATATAGCACTTTATGAGATTATACTTTGTATTCAATAGTTCTAATTACAGTGTTTTTTATATTTTTTACAAAGTGTTTAAGGTAATGTAGTTAACGCTTTTGTTTTTTCACTTTTTTCCTTTTTATAAAATAGCACTTTATGAGATTATACTTTGTGCTCTATAGTTTTAATTACAGAGCTTTTCATATATTTTACATAGTGCTTTCAGGGAGTAAAGTTAGTGTCTTTGTTTCTTCACGTCTTTTCTTTTTTATTATGTAGCACGTTGTGAGATTATACTTTGAGCTGTAATTACAAAGCTTTTCGTATATGTTGCATAGTACTTTGAGGGAATAATCAAGTTAGTGCTTTTGTTTCCTCATTGTCTGTTCTTTTTATTATATAGCATTTAATGAAATTATATTTTATTCTCCATAGTTTTAATTATAGTGTTTTTCATATTTTTTACATAGTGTTTAAGGTAATATAGTTTGCGCTTTTCTTTTTCATTGTTTTTCCTTTTTATCAAATAGCGCTTTATGAGATTATGCGTTGTGCTCTAGAGTTTTAGTTACAGTGCTTTTCGTATATGTTAGATAGTGCATTAAGGTAATATAGTTAGTGCTATTGTTTCTCTAGTGCCTTTTCTTTTTATTATATATCAATTTATGAGATTATACTTTGTGTTCTATAGTTCTAATTATAGTACTTTTCGTATATTTTACATAGTGCTTTCATGGTGTAAAGTTAGTGTTTTTGTTTTTCACTTCTTTTCCTTTTTATTATGTAGCACTTTATGAGATAAAACTTTGTGCTCTAGAGTTCTAATTACAGTGTTTTTCGTATATGTTACAAATTTCTTTAAGGTAATCTAGTTAGTGCCTCTGTTTCTTCCCTGCCTTTTCTT